CGTCAGGCGAGGTGGGTTCGGCAAGAACAGGGACCTTCCAAAAGGCAGGGTCCAAGGCGATGAATTGGGTGTCCGCAGCCTGAAGACGTGCGGAGCCCGATGGTGGGTGCGATGTGTCACCGCCAGTGCGCTTAGGCTTGCTGCGCTGGTAGTGGTCGAGCGTGTAGCTGATCTGGTTGGCGGCGCACATGCGGATAAGGGCGCTGCCAAGCTTCTTCGTGTTGGACTTGTGCATGTCGTACTTTGCCTGGAGCTCGTCCGCGTTCAGTTCGGCTAGCCCGTTATAGGCGGCCGTGGGGCGGTCAGACCCCGCTTGCCTGAACGCTGCGATGCAGTCCTGCTTGCGTTGAAGGAGGGGCCCTTCAGCAGCAGGGCGCCTGGGGCGGGAGCTCGGAGGCTGCTTTGAAGAGCGACGGCGCTCCGGCTTCTTGGGGGCCATTGCTGCGGGCACTCTGGTGCGGAGAGGTGACGCGAATCAGTAGGGTCCTGCTGGGACCCCTCCGGTCTCGCGAGGCCTGGGAGTCTGACTCCGAGGCGGGGCGCTTCGCGTCGTGGCTGCGGTCTGAGTGCAGAGCACTCTCGAGCCGAGACTAGAGAGAAAGAGAGAGAGAGAGAGAGAGAGAGAGAGAGAGAGAGAGAGAGAGAGAGAGAGAGAGAGAGAGAGAGAGAGAGAGAGAGCGAGAGAGAGCGAGAGAGAGCGAGGAGAGCGAGAGAGAGAGAAGAGAGAAGGAGAGAGAGAGAGAGAGAGAGAGAGAGAGAGAGAGAGAGAGAGAGAAAGAGGAGAGAGTATAGAAGAGAGAGAGAGAGAGAGAGAGAGAGAAAGAGAGAGAGAGAGAAGAAGAGAGAAATAAGAAAGAGAAGAGAGAGAGAGAGAGAGAGAGAGAGAGAGAGAGAGAGAGAGAGAGAGAGAGCTAGCTGGAGGGGCCGGGCGGGCGCGGGGGCGAAACATTCGTGGCCCGGAGGGGGGGCGACCTCGACCCTGGCCAGGCTTTCGTTAAAGCAAGGGTGAACTCCCGGGGCGTCGGGAAAACGGGCATCGATAATGAGACGGGTCCGGGTTTTCTTCCCCGTCTTCTCCGCGAAAAACATTCCGACCGTCTCGCGAGCGGCCCCTGCGGGCAAGATCGCTGCCGAGCCGATGCGATGGAGGAGCATCCGCAAAGACTTACGGCGGCTTTGGGCAAGCACGTGGTCCCAATTGTCGCTCCTAAAATCTGGTGCGTGGGCGCATCGTGCGCTCGTAGTTCTGCTCCAGGTGCCGGTTCGCGTGGCGCCCCACGACCTCGCGCATCGCCGGCGTCCCGCCGAAGCTGCCTGGGGGGCTCGCCTCCGCGACGCTGGAGAAACTGGTTAAGTGGTGTCCGCCGAGCTCGGCGTCGTGGACGGATCGGCCGTGCGTCGGCTGACGGAAAGCCAGGGGTCGTGACTCCAGAATCCAAGTGGGCAACATCTAGCTCCCGGACTCGCGCATGCACCCCTGCCTTCTCAGGTCGGAGGCCCATGCCGCGGGCGATGGCGATCTCCTGCCAGCCCTGTCAAGGCCTTCGCGGTAACGTTGGCGTCTGCATTCGCCCTCCTGATGCGCCCGCGCAGCCGGGTCGCCTTGCGGCCCTGCCCCCCGCGGGGGATCCGGGAGCGGCTGGAGCGGGGTCGGGCAGAGGGGCTGCGTGGGAACGCTGCCGGCGCCATCGCCGTATCCATCACGTGCGCAGTCTCGGCCATCTGCGGCGGCGCGACCCGGGCCGCCGCGGGCAGGGGGCGTCGCCCCTGCCCCGCCCGCGAGGGAGCAAGCATCCGCTTGCCGCCGCCGTCGGCGCCGCCCTGGCCAGGCTGGCCCTGGCCGCGGCCACCCCCCTTGGTCCCGCGACCTGGGCCTGCGACTGGCTTGCGGCCGAGGCCGGGGTGGCCCTGGCCGGGCCTGTCAGCGCCGCAAGCAGCTCCGTCGGCTCTGGCAGGGGGGCCACCGCGAGCGCGCAGCCGCGCGTTCTTGATCTCGAGCTCCTCCTTGGCGCGGCGGCGGGCGTGAATGCGCATCTTGGGCAGCGCCGCCGAAGGAGTTGTTGCCGACGGGGCGAAGTGCTTCGCGTCTTCCAAATTGGAGCGGCTGGGCCCCCCGTCGCATGCGCCTCTAGTACCCGCCGCGCGCTGCGGCGCGCCGCCTTGATGCGCGCCGGGGGCGGGCCGTGCACTTGGTCGTGGGCCCCGCTCAAGAACAGGAGGCCCGTCAGCAATTTCATCTCGATGCCCGTTCGCTCCTGAGGGTTAACCCCAGACTCGCTGCAACTGATCGGGGATCACAGGCGAAGACCGCCTCCCTGACGGTAGAAGTTCTTGAAGGGCGTCGGGGCAGTCGGGGGCCCCTCGTGGGCGCGCCCCCAGTCGGCGTGGTGCTTGCAGGGCACCTCTGCGCACTCGTCGCGCCAAGCCCTGAACCGCTCGCCGTGCTCGTCGGCGTTCGCGGAGAGGGTCCCGGCGCCCTCGCCGGGCGCGGGAGTGGCCGCGCCCCCGTCCAGCGCCTGTCGGAGGCGGGCCTCTGGGCCGCCGTCCTTGCGCTCAGCTCGGCCTGCGGCCTCCCCGTCGTCCAGGCACCTGCGGGCTGCCTCGGGTCGGGGGAGCCGCCCGCCTCGGAGTCCTCCGCCATCTTCGCCGCGACGGGTCGCCTGCTGCTGTCCGCGGCCAAGGCAAGCAGCCCAGACGACCGGGGCCGAGGGCAGCGGGTTCCGCTGATTCCCAAAGTCCGGGCGGGGCGGGCCGACAATGAGCCGAGTCTCGCCCGCCTCCAGCATCGGGGGCGCTCGGCCCGCATAAGCGCTCGGTGCGGCCGCGGGGCCATCGACAAGAGGCGCGAGCTCCGCGCCCTCCGAGTCCATGGCCGTCTGGTACTCCACGCGAGCGCCGTCCCACAAGACGATGCTGGATGGGGGGGTTCGAGCGTAGGCGTCTCCCTCGGCCATCTTGATCTGCTCCGCCACATCCGAATTCGATGGCCCCTCCTTCAACCTGTAGAAGCGCCCTTGGAGGCGAGCGGGCCGCTCTGCGGCCGGGTCGAGCAACGGCCCCTGCGCGGCGCCGCCCGACCCTCGGCGGCAGTGGATGATCTGTGTGCCGGTGGCCGTCGGGCGTGACGATCACCCAGGCCCCGTCGTGGACAAACGCCAGTGCCACCCTCTCGTGCCACAGCGTATCGTCTGAATACCAGAGGGCGATCCTCCGCCTGGGGGCAACTTCGCGCATAAACTCCGCCTCCCCCGCGACGACCCCGTCCACCCCCAACAATTGGTGCTTCCTGGCCGAGAGCATCTCGACGACGGGCTTGCCAACCGCAGATCTCGCCCGGTGTGGCCTGGACGAGCCCCCCCACCGATGGCCCGCGACTCGGCGGACATCGGCAAGCCAGTATGCCTCCAGTGAAAAAAAAACTGGGAGCCCAAATCGGAATCCCAACTGAAAGCGAATCGGAATTGGAAGCCGTGAAAATCGAATCGAATCGCATCGGAAGAGTTACACCGACTTCTGGTTTACCAAATCGCCCAGTTGTGCACAAGGAATTCGTGGCTGCTGTCGAGGGCGGCCAAGAAGGGGGCGTCCAAGAGGGGGGAGCGCAAATCATGACCGGCGGCACGTGCGCGGCCCAGGGAGGTACTCTGAAATTCGCCGGCCCAACGGGCCAGGGCGTGCTAAGATCTCCGGTAACTGGTTAACAGTATTAACAGTATTTCTAGTTCGCGCGCGCGGGGCGGCCCCTGGGGGTCCCCCGGCGAAAAGTACCCCGACCAACGCCCGGTCGCCGCCCGACCAAGTCTACTCAGAGATGGTTTTCCTTCTGGGTGCGGCCTCTCAGGCTCCCCAGAGCGCGCTCAGAGTGCCCCAAGAGGCCCCCAAGACTGCCCAAGAGGCCCCCGAGACGCCCAAAGAGCGCTCGAAGACGCCGAAGATGACCCCAAGACGGCCCAAAAGGCCCCCAAGACAGCCCAAGAGGCCTCCAAGACGCCCCAAGAGCCTTCCAAGAGGCCTCCGAAGAGAGCCCCAAGAGGCCAAAATCGTTGATTTTCATTGTTTTTTTCGATGTTTTTTGTGTTCTGGCTTTTTCGGCTTCCGGACGCTCCAAGACGGCCCAAGAGGCCCCCAAGAGCGCTCCAAGACGGCCCACGAAGCTCCCAAGACGGCGCCGAAACGACCCAAGAGAGCCCTCAAGACGGCCCAAGTGCCGCCCAAGACGGACCAAGAGGCCCCAAGACGGGCCCAAGAGGGACTCAGGAGGGATACCGAGAACTCAAAAATGGAGCCCTCCGTCCCAGAAGGCGCCCAGGAGGTCCCAAAGAGGCCCCAAGAGGCCTCCAAGAGGCCCCAAGATGTCGCCAAGAGGCCCCAGGAGACTCCCAGGAGGCCCAAAAGAAGCCCCAGAAGGCTTCAAACATGTCTCCCAGGCGCCCCCGAACGGCCTCTCAACAGACCCCAAGAGGCCCCCCAAAGAAGCATCTTGACGACGACTCTATTTCGCCCCATCGAGAGACGACCCCCAGGGAACTGCTTCACCATCAAAACTCCCCACGCAACGCGTCCGAACGACACCCGCCCCCAAGAGCGCAACATGGGCAACGAACACACAGACAAAAACCAGCGATGCCATATCACGGGCCGGCGGAATGAGCGAAGCGATTCAATAAGAAGAGGCGCCATGATATCTGGGGAGATATTATGGCTCCAGCAATGATATCCCCCCCCCTCACTCACTCATGGCGGTCGATCGAATCGTGCAGCCACCAGTCCTGCCCCTCCCCCTCGGCTGCGGGCCCGAGGTGGAGGGGGGGTTCATTAGGGCAAAGGTGAGAAGAGACAGAAATTGTTGGGCTCGGCCCCAGAAAAGAGGAGGGAGGAGAGGAGGCACCAACATCATAATAACGACCGAGGGGGAAGAGGAATATCACCCCCCCTAGTCACCACCCCCTTGCCGCCCCCGAAAATCGTGACTGCTGCGCGGACGTGTCCTGGGCACACGCCAGGATAAGGTCGCGCGGCCTGCAGGCGGTCGTCGGGGTGGCCGCAGGAGCAGAACACGAGGGCGTGTCTCTTCGCGTGGAAATCCTCGCCAGAGGAGGAGGAGGAGGAGGAGGAGGAGGAGGAGGAGGAGGAGGAGGAGGAGGAGGAGGAGGAGGAGGAGGAGGAGGGAGGATGAGGAAGGCGGAGAAGGAGGAGGAGGAAGGAGGAAGGAGGGAGGAGGAGGGAGGAGGATGATGAGGATTATGATGAGGAGGAGGAGGAAGAGGAGGAGGAGGAGGAGGAGGAGGGGGAGGAATCTGGAGGAACACGAAACGATATCAGCATAAACTTTCGGAGGTCCGCGCGGACACCTTGGATTGGCGCTGCAACTCCCTTGAGCGCTCCACGCGCCAAGGAGGGGTGCCCAACGCCGATCCAAGAAATCCGCGCGGACCTGCGAAACCTTATGTTCAAGTCGTTTGCTCTTCTTCGAGAGTTGGAGTCGGAGGAGGAAAAGAGAAAAACGAGGGGAGTGTCCATATCCGATGTGCGGAGTTCTTGCCTTTCATGGTATCAATTCTCCGCCTCACCTCATGTCTTCCATATCCTGGTAATGGGATGTTTCCAGTGTGACCCCTTCTCCGCTTCACCTTCACCTTCACTTTCGCCTTCACCTTCCTCTCTCCTCCCTCTTGAACTTACCCCTACTCACACGCACTCAGACTCACCCAGGCTCGGATTCACTCATACTCAGACTCTCACTCTGAGTTTCACTCGTACCCAACATATACACACATCTACAGAGACAGATGTATGCACATCTATACATATGTACATCTGCACATACGGTATGTATACATATGCATATACATCTACATATGCATGTGCATATACATATACATACACACATGCTTACAACCATACATACACATACACATACACACATATATACACATACGGACATGCACATGCACATGCGCATGCACACACATATACAGTGTATACATGCATATGTACATATCTAGTTCTGTACACTTACATATACACGTTCACCTACATTTGCATATGCATATGCACACATGTACACATACAAATACCTATACATATACATTGCCATACACGTTTTCATAGACACATACATATCCATATACACGTACACATACACATACATATACACATACACGCACACATACACATACATGTATACATGCATGCATGTATACATACGTACATGCACGCATGCACGCCCGCACACATTCAATCATTCATATATCGATACATACATACATCTATCCACACATGTACGTATGTACTTCACCAGTGGTCCCGGCCCCAGGGCACCAGAGGGGCGAGGGGGGCCGTTTGTACAGAGCGGCCTCCGCCCTCCCCAAGGGGCTCCCCCGGGCGGATCTCGGAATTCGGAAGCGGCCCCAGGACGTCCCACGACCGGACAAGACAGCCTCCAGACTCCAGGCTGCCCAGGACGCCTCCAGGACGCGCCTCGAGGGCCCCAAGAGCGTCCTTCTTGGATGCACGGCTTCTTGCCTTGCCTTGCCTGAAATACTGCTACTGGGTGGGCGTGGAACCACTCCTAATACTGGGGCGGCTGACGGACTCGCGAGATCACCCCTGATCCCCCAGCAAGAAGCATAGCCTGTGTCGAATCGCTCGTGCGCGAAGCAGAAGGTATACTTGCCCCCCCCCCGTGTCAACTTGGTCCTGTTGGGCCTCCCAAGGAGGCCGCCGACCAGGGGTTCACCACGGGCCCGATCATGCCCAGGTCGTGGGGACCTGTCAAATCGAATGGCCACTTGAGCGGGGCAAGCGTGTCCCTTCTCAGAGCCCCTCGCTCATCCCGGTGTACCTGGCATGGCACTTGGGCCTCCTAAGTGGGGGGAGCCAGACCAGGAGTGCATCTCGGGCTCACTCGTGCCCAGCTTGTGGGGATCTCTCAGATCGCATGGCCGTTCCAGCGGTGCAGGCGTGTCTCTCTTCAGAGCTTCAGTTTCGTCCCGATGTGGCGCGCCCATATTGGTGGCCTCTCGGATCGAATGGCCTTTTTCGAGAGGGTGGTCGTGCCACTTCTTCGAGCTCCACGATCATCGCGACGTAGCTGTTATGGGGGGGGGTACAAGTAGCTACAGTTAAGCAGACAGGGGAAGAAGGGGTACATGCTTAGCCATGTTCAGCACGAGTGCTGGTAGTGTCGGACACGGTGAAAGCCTCGCCTGGTCTTGCCCTCCAGCCTCTCGTGAAAGAAGTGACGATGGTGCTGGTGCTGCCTCCGCCTCCCTCCTCTCCTCAGGGTGGCCTCCTCGCCTCCCTCGGGGTGATTGCTACCTCCCTCAGTGTGGCCTCCTCGCCTCCTCGCCTCCCTCAGGGTGGCCTCCTCCTCCTCGCCTCTCCTCGGGGTGATTGCTACCTCCCCCTCCTCCTGTCTGCCTTGCGCCAGGGGGCCGCTGCTGGCGTCGCTGGCGTGGCGTCGTGGAATTTGGCCTCCCAAAGGGAAACCCGCCGGGGGTGTTCCACGGGCCTGTTTGCGTCCAACAAATCGTGGGGACCGCCTGGGCGCCCTAATTGCAGGATCCGCTCGCAACTGTCAAGGCTTACTCATACTCGGATCCAATCGCATTCAAACCCACTCATGCCCAGAGTCTCCTATATTCGGCCACAGACACGCAAGCTCAGGCTCACTCACACCCAGACCCATTCGCTCATTCGCAGACTCATCCATACTCACACTCAGACTCCCTTATACTCAGAAGCTCAGGAAGAGGACGCGCTAGAGCATTCATGTCAATATGGAGATCTCCGCGTCGAGTATATTTTTATTGGAAGCCTTTTGGAGGGCCATCGTCGCCTCTCCTGGCTGGATTTGCTCCGAATTCTTGGCCAGAACGTGTTCCAGGACCAGTCCGTGGGACGATTTTTAAGAGGGGCCCAGGGCTTCAACATCCAGGAACAACATCACCAAGATCGTGGACTCTCGACGCTAGGGGGGAGGGGGGGAGCTGGGAAATGGATTGGCCTACCTCCGAAGATACAGGTCCCGCGCATGATGAAGACGACGATAGTGGGGGCCTGCGAACACGAGAGGGAACACGAGCAGGACGAAGTCATGGAGGAGGACGAGGAGGACCAGAGGATGCGCAAGATGTGGAGGAGGCTACGGAGAACATGGAGGTGGACGATGATGATGAGGAGACGGACCGCCCGCCCACGCCTGCGGCGGGCAGGGGCTGTCACAGGAAGGCCCTTCACAACCACGCGCAACAGCCGCGGCGCATCAGCCACCTTGTCGCAGGGAGGCCGTTCCCACCAGCCGCAGTCGCCCGCGGCACCCCCGCGGCGGCCTTGAGGGCCGTGTCCGCGTCGGCCGTGGGCTCACGAGGCACTGAGGCGACACACAACTCCCCACTGGGCGAAAGCTTGGCGGCGTCTGCCGCACAAGCTCCCGTGCCGCTCGCCCCGGCGGCGGGTGCCGCCTCGTGGCGCATCGACATCAGCTCGTTGCCCGCCAACGCCCCTAGCAGGACCGTGCCGCCAACCAACGTCCACACCGACGGCGCCTCCCGCACCGCGATCCACACGAAGAGGGGGCCGAGCAGGACCTCGAGCAGCATGATCAGGCCCACCTCGGAGGAGAGGATGTACTTGGGGCCGATGGCGAAGCAAGCCAACGCCACGGGCAAGACCAGGGTGCCGTTCAGAGCGCTGTACACCAGCCCGCCCGCACCAGACGCGGGCCAGCACTCCTCGCCGACGCGGCCCTGCGCCAGCGCGACGGCCAGGGCGACGGAGATCACCGAGGCTGGCACCGCGGCGGGGACGAGCGTCGCCAGCGGGCGCCTCATCTGTGCATGGCGGCACACTGTCAGGTAGGCCGCCAGGCTGATGCCGGTGCACAGGCCGATCAGGTCCCCCAGGACCGACTCCCGCCCAGACGGCGTCTCGCCCCGCGACCCCCCGAGGATGAGCACCACGGAGCCCAGGCCCACGGCCAGGGCGGCGCTGGTGTGCCAGCGCGGCCACTCCTGGAACCACACGATGCTCAGCAGCGCGCACCACAGCGGGTTCAGGCTCGTGAGCACCAGGTTGTTCGCGGCGGTCGTGTGCAGCGTGCCCAGGCTGAAGATCGGCGGCGCGCCGAGGGGGGAATCAAGGGGCCCAAAGACACAGAAATAGATGCACACAAATGAAAGGATTCCCCATACTTTCCCATATTTTCTGGGTTTCTGTCTTCCCCCTCGCTTCCCATACTTTCCCATCTTTTCCTATACTTTCTGGGAGATCGACGATTAATTGTGTCTGTGTGTTTTTTCCCTCCTGAGGGAAGTGAGCGCGGGCAAATCTTCTCATAAGACGGCCGGCCTTTTCAGAGGCCCTCCAGCCCTCCAAGAAGACCCCTCGTGTCTTCGGAAACGGCTTTTGATCCTTGGAGGGATGGTTGCGCCGACTTTCTGGTGCAAGGGACGTTTCGGGCTCCCGCCAGAGGGATCCTTAGCAAGAAATCTGCGACGACGGCATGCTTGTACTATTTTCAAAAAACAGATAACCCGATCAAACAATTCCCGAACACCCCCCAAGACAACCCGGACAAATTATGTTGAGTAATGACGACAAGACGACACCTCGACAACCCCTTGAACAACCCAGCGGGGATCTGGACAACCCCACTGGACAACCCCCCTTAAACAAGCCTCGATTTTCTTCCATCAGGTAGAGCAGCGGGATGGCGGCCAAGGAACTCACCCCAATCGCCCAGAGCCTCGTTGCGGCCATCCCGGTGGAAAGCTTCCTGGGAGGCCGGAGGCCGTCCCTTTCCAAGACGTCCCGCCTTCCCCTGCGGGGCAACGGTGGGGGGGGGGGGTCTGGCATAGGGGCGAAACATCGACCTGGGATCGACGGCACATCGCCAACAGATCGGCGATGGGCCCCCGACAACGCATCCGCACCTTCCTTGGCGGGGTGGGGCTCTCGGGCCCCTCTCGGCGATGAGTGGGCGACTGGGGGTCGATGCATCCCCCCCTGCGCCTAGCCCCGTCCTGGGTGGTTTTCTGGTCACAACTCTGCTCTCCGGCGGCCGTTCGGGAAGATCCGGGCACCCCTGGAACGCCCTCGGCGAGGCGCAGCTGCTGGAGACCACCCTTGGGGCCGAAAGGCCGCCGAGATCCGACGGAGACGCCCGAAAACCTCCGCGATAACGCTGCCCCATCGCCGCCTCCTCCGCCTGGCAGAGCACCTCGCAAAGCCCGCCGCCTTCCACGGTCTCCCAAGGACTAAGGAGCCAGAGGTTTGAAAGGTCCTTGCCTGGGGTCGCATGTGGCCCTTGTCGGGGCCAGCCGCAAAAACAAGTCCAGCACTTCTCGGTTGAGGCATCCCAACCGACCCTTCAGGCTGGGCCCTGGGTGCGCCCCTGTGGTCCAAATGCGGGAGCTGTTCGCAGGGAGATTTGCGGAAAGCGGTGTTGGGGCCCAGCCTGGAGGACGGAGGAGCGAACCTGCTCCACAATTTTTCAATCGGCACGATTTGTACCTGTCTGATTGCCTCCAGGCTTTCGGCTTGAACGAAGGGGAGGCACGCAACCTCGGCAGCAAGCTTCGTGTCAAGAAGCAGGCCAACGATCTGCCAGAAGAGGATGAAGACGAGTTCTTTTTTTCCTAGGGGGGGCCCTGTCGTTGGCCAATGGCAGGGCTTGGCCCCCTGCCAGGGTGGCAGGAAAGGTCCTCTCCGATGGGCCCCTCCGGGGGCAATCTGGTCTCTTCGGACCCTCTCTCCCCCTCTTTCCCCTCAGTGCTGAGTCGGGCATGTCCTCCCACAGGCGGATTGCGGAAGACAGATGAAACAATTGTCAACCATACTCGAAAAGCCTAAACAATGACCCAGAGATCCGATGTCGTGATTTTTTCAATACGCGGTCCCCGAAAGTCTCGACCCATCCCCCAGGACCGGTTTTTCATCCTGTGTCGTTTTTTGACGGCCCCGAGGCCCGGCGAGGGCCCCTGGGGGCCGAAATTTGCGAAAAACCTCCGTCTTGATTTTTTCAATACGTTGGATCTCTGGGGATCGAAAAATCGCCCCACGGCATTTTTTGTTAGAGGCATCCTAGATGGGGTCGGAGTAGATGGGGTCGGTGGATCGCACATCGCCGATACATCGGCGATTCATCGGCAATGCATCGGCGATGCATCGGCGATGCATCGTCGACGTCGTCGCTTCATCGGCGACGCCGGCGCGAAGAACATCGGGCCCCGCATCGAGCCGCATCGCCGATGCATCGGCGATGCGACGCGATCCTCCGACCCCATCTACTCCGACCCCATCTAGGAGGCCTAGATTTGTCTTCTTGAGTACTTTCGAATTTTCGCCGGGCTCAAAAGCCTCCGTGGCGGGCGAACCCTGGGCGCGCCGCCGGGGCAGAGCAGCTCGGTGACGCCCTCGAGGGTGGCCGCCGCCCAGAAGTGCCAGCCCCCCGCCCGCGCCCGGGCGAGGTACTCCTGGGGGGCAACGGAAGGAGGAGGAGGAGGAGGAGGAGGAGGAGGAGGAGGAGGAGGAGGAGGAGGAGGAGGAGGAGGAGGAGGAGGAGGAGGAGGAGGAGGAGGAGGAGGAGGAGGAGGAGGAGGAGGAGGAGGAGGAGGAGGAGGATTTTTTTTCGTCATCGGTCCCCAAGGGGCGTGAACACTGCTAACAGGCGACCGAGAGGATCGCCTGAGCGAACCTTGGTCGAGAGCGACCTGGGGCGATGCACAGGAGGCTCAGAAAACAAAACATGCAGAGCTCCGAGCACACGGCGCCAGAACGGTCTTACAGAAACAGAGTCAGACCACTGGTGACACGTGCCCGCTCTCTGAACGCATTAAACACGGCCAACGAGGGACGCCTCCTCCTCGGCTGCCACAAAAGGAGCCTCGGCCTCGTCATGTGCGAGGCGCGCGGCTGCCACTCGCACAGGTTGACCAGGAGACACACGTGGCTCCTGTCCATCGGTAGAAGATTCGAACAAAAATCTCGATGCCTCTTCGTCGGCACCAAAATCGTCTGCAGGCTCCTCTTCGCGCGCAGGCGCGCTGGAGGGCCTCTGAGACGAAGCCGACGAGAGGTGACGAGAGGGTGTGACAACTCTAGCAATCGAACTGGCGGCCGCCTCCTTTGCCTGGATCCGCGCCTGCAGCGCGATCATACCAGGAGTTTGGACGAGGCCAGAAGAAAGAGCTCCTGAGACGACCACCTCCTGCGGCGGCGGCTGAGACGCGGAGAAACACAAAAACGAGCTGCCCCTTCTCGTGCTGCTCGTGAGCCTCGAGGTGTCACGATAATGCGGGTAAGGGCCATTGTATATGCGGCGGAGCGTCGTCGGAGCTCCGCTCAACCGACGTTGGGAACACTCCTGTCCGAGCTTATGGCAGCGGCTAGAAGTGTACGCTCCACACACGATGCAAAAAAACAGTGTTTTCTCGGTCTCGCCCTTTGAGACACGACAGTGGGCAAGAGTGTGACCAAGACTGACGTCTAATGTTTTACGCCACGTGCTACTCATGCCTTTGCACCCAAACATGGGTCTGGAAAGCGGATCGGTCCATAAAGCAAGACAATGCAAGCATCGCGACCTGCCTTGTTCGAGGTCCTGCCACGCATGCCAGCCCCCTGATTTTAAAAACTTGGACCTAGGACCAAAGCTGATACGATCGAATTTCTCATGGGGGAAGGCCGAAAGGACCTTTCCACAAACACGTGCAACGATACGCAGTAGTTTACATTTCCTGTCCACCTCCTCTCTTTCATTCAGGGAGGGTTGGGGGTGAGAGAGGAGAGCTGTTCTGGCCTGAGCATCTGCGTGCCAGTTTCCCAAGCCGATACGACGTTCATCCTCTGGCAAAGCGTCAATCGCAACCAACTGTCGGTGTGCTGGCGTGTGAGAGACAACGGGTGCATGGCCAGCGACTTCATGCAGCAGCGATCCACGACGCAGACCAGCGTAACGATGCTTCCTAGAAACTTGATGCATGGGGTCCGCACGGCATAACTTGACGACGGTCAGGCTGTCCCCGTACCTGCTTCCCCCGAGCTGCTGGAACATGGGGAAGCAAAGCCATCGCCTGATGTTCCGCGGCCTGGGATGTTTGAGGGAGGGTGTCCAGGACGGTGCCACGAGCAGTGGCAACAATTTCATTGGGTCGGGGCCCCAGAAAGATCCAGGAGTCGGAGGCCCGCGAAAGCTCGCGGATACAATGTCTGCTGGCCGAACCGTCAACGCACACATCAAGCCCCTGCAGGTCGATCGCGTCCCAAGGCACAGCAGCACCCGAGGCATCATACAGTTGTGGGTTAGGTTCGGGGGAAGGGGGCGGGTGCGAGGCTTCGGGATGAGGCCATTTCATCTCATCAAAGAAAAGACAGTCCTCACTCTCAAGAGCCTCCGCATGCCATTCGACGGGAACTCCATCAAGCGCTTCGGCTCGTGCCGCAGCCGCCGTCGGGTGCATGCACTGCCAAAGTCGGTGTCTCACGCTGTCGGTCTGCCCGCAAAGAGGGCGCAAGCCGTCAGCCTGGTACCCGCAGGCGCGAGCCCGCGTACGAGTCCACACTCCCTTACAAAAACAGGTGAGAGCCAGGTATTTTTCCCGAGGGCTAAGGCCTTTCCCTTGGGGCACCAGAATTTTCTTGAGGGGCTCAACACAAACGCGATCACCACCGAAGCCAGGCGTGTGCTCGGCCAGGGCCCTCTCGTGGGCCCTCTGGGAAGCGAGATCCAGGAGGTGCGCGAGCGTAGAAGGGGAGGTGTAACCTAAGTGTATTTCTCTCTCCTTATCATCCCGAAGGGTCAAGGCCGACGTAGAAACCCACCCCAGTCTATGAAGGCTGAGATGCATACGCTGCACAGGTCCCCTAGAGGACCGCCAGGTGACATCATCATCGAAGGGTATCGTGCACCATATAAGGCACAAATCCTTAACCGTGTATTGGGATATTTGCGGACACGTGATCGCCGTCCACACGACTCCAGCCCAGTGAAGCACAGGAGCAACAGCAGCGCGCCACACAGGATCGCCTAGGATGGCGAGCTTGGCGTGCAACGAGCATCCTTGGTGACGAGGGGGCTTGTAGGCTAAGAGGACCCGTCGGGCCTGCTGGAGTTCTTGGTTGCTCATACCTATCACCCCCGATCCAAAACTGGCCGCAGGCAAAACTCCAGCGACGTATATTTTCCCGATGCGACCTTTCTGTCGAGGGAGGGCATGACGATATCGCTGGAGAACGCGGTGCCGCCGCCGCATATCACGAAGGCGGGTCCGTCGTCTCCACAGTGCTCTATGTGCCGAACGACGCTGGCCAGGAGCAAGATCGGTACCGAGTGAAACCACACTGTTAGATACTTGGCCTGACATGTGCCCCAGATGTCGTGCAATGCTCTTGGCCAGCGTGAGCGAATTACCAAACGTGCAATCTTTGTCAGGATGCACAGCCACACGAAGCTCATCTCTAAAGATGATGAACAAAGCTGCTGCCGCTCGGATAACGTTGCTAATCACCTCATCCTCCGTCCCCTCCGTCGTCGCACTGTCGTCGTCAACGTAAGAGGATAACCACGCATCTCTATGACTGCCAACGAACTTATCAAAGGCCTCGATGCTATAGACGCGAACGAAGACATCGTTAAATATATCTCCAGCAGGTATGCCCGAAGCGGCGAAGTAGGGCACAGCAGCATATTGGGCTCCAAGCCGCAACAGCCGCGGGCCTCGCCAATAATTATACGTCGTCTTCACTATGGTAGCATCGATGCCATAATCTAAGGCTCGCTGTCTCAGCACTGAGAGACCGAAGGACTCGTAATACTTAGTCCCATCCCATATGAATCCCCCCGTAACCTTATCATCATGGCGCGCGACCTCGGCCCGAACGGCCTGATGCCACGCAGCGTCCTCAGCACTCCTACCTGGCCCGAAGGCCCAATACTTGCGAGGATACCTGTCGTTGAAATCTACAATGGCGGGGCGCCGCAATCTCTCCCAAACACGAACGGGTCCCGCGCGTAACAAAATGGGCCTCAGGCCCCCTTTCGGTTTTTCAAGCAAGGGAAAGAGGAACCAAAACAGTTGTTTAGGGAAGAGGCCCAGAGACTCAATCGCTTGAACCAGCGCCGCGAAAGTTTCAAGAGCCGCGTCCGACCCGAGGCTGAAGTGACGAGGGTGAAAGCCATCAAGGGATTGGGACGTGTGATGGCTGAAACTGCTCGACGCATTCCTAAGCTCAGCAGCCGTCGGCCGAGGCAGGTGGGCACGGTCGGGCACGAAAACTTCAGGAGGCACATGAGACGCGTGCCAAAACTTAGCCAGTTCCCCACCTTCACGTCGAAGGAGGAGCTGGGGGTTACTGCTGAAAACTCCAGGAGAGGTCTGGACCACGGTGGGATTACACTTGGCTTTTAACTTAGTAAGGCGATGCATCCCTCTAAGCCCCTCCTTCCAAAGCCTGCTCCTGCCATTGATCCCAGCTGTCCTGCTGCTGCTTAACAATGGCCTGCTTGGCCGAGAGGAGGTCGTCCTCCCACGACTGTAAGAATTCCTGGCACTCGTCGCACCAGCCATTCAAAGGGCCTGACGAGGGGAACTTGCTTGCCAGGCTGCGAGCCTGCCGCGGGGTCGAATCAAGGCGAATGTCGCCTCGTTTTCCTGGGCAAGGGAGACCTAAAAGCTGCTGGATTTGGAGCTGAACATCCTGAAGCATCTGATCACGGGCCGTGATGTCCTCAAATCCATCAGGGTCCTCGGCGGCCCTCATGTAGGCCTGCTGGAGCCTCGCAGAGGCCCCCACCGTTTCGCAGAGGCGCTGGGCCAGCCAAATCCATCCCCGAGAGACCGAGAGCATTTCAAGAGCACGGGGCTTGGCAAACATCGGGACCCATTTGGGTTTCAGATAGTCACCTCGAAAACCTTTACCTCACAACATCTCCAGTGTAGCTCTCGAGCTCAAGCTCGAAGGTGTTGGCGAAGTGCTGCAACGCAACGCCCACGCCTGACCGACAGGAGCCTCTAGAGCAGCCTCGGCTGCGGCCTCAGCAATCCCCCGAGCGAGGCGCCAGTCCTGCGGTTGTGGCGCAGGTCCTATGGGCAGACTAGTGGGAAGACGCTGATGGGCTCGATACTGCAACTGATAACATCGAACAGCATCATCCTTGAGTTTCAACGCAACGGGGCGGTGGGGTCTATGGGTCCACTCCAGGTCCGCTTGGACCCCGTCGGTGGCCTTCGCAAGGCCAGAACTCACCAAGAAGTAATCAATCGTAGAGAGACTTTGCGGGGAGAGGCAGGTTTTCTGGTTGGGAACAAACAGCGCTCCCCCCGTGCGACGACACACACCTGATGAATCAACGAAGCTGGGGTCGAGATTCCAGTCGCAACCAACCAAAAACATGTGTTCGCCCTGGAGACGTTCTCCCATGAGACGAAGCAACTGGATATTCAACTTGCACATTCCGGTGCCACTCTTGAGATAT